CCTCCTCCTCCTCTCCCCCCTCCTCCCCCTCCTTATTCTCCTATTCACCCAGCAATCACAACCACGCCCATCGAAAGAGAAAAAACCGCTTTGCTTAGACATTGGGTGAAAAAAGAGAGTAATTCCTATCTTATCAGAAAACTTGCCATACAAGACAGTGGCCACTTCTTAATAATAACATGCAGCAGGTCAGATGCAACCACCGCTTCCCTGAACCTGGTGCAATAATAATAATATAACTTCACATACCTGGCCCTCGTCTTCGTCTTTATCAGGGGGGTCACCCCGATAAAAGTCTATTCATGCTCAGTAATCTGCCGGACCCTTGCAAGAAACGCCCAACGCGATGAGTTGAGTAACTTTAATGCAGTCTTCACGTTATGAAGTGGAACCTACTTGCCTTTGGGGAATATTCAGAGGAAGGTTTCTCACAGGGGGAGAGACACGTTTTGTTGTTGTTTAGAGTTTCTCAGGGGGAGAGACACGCTTTGTTGTTGTTTAGAGCTATGTTGGCCGGACTAAGAAGGGTGAGTACTGTCAAGGTAATCATAGTACTGACAGTTGAATGACTTACAACTACAATTACCGAATATTGGGACGACAGAGATGTCAAGGCTGTTGAAAAAAATTTTCCTTTGAGAATTTGTTACCCCAGAATTCCAAAGTTCTATTTGTCAGTTTTGGCACTTTTGAGTTACTAAGAAAAGAAATGTTCTATCTGCTCCATCAAAATCGTAAGATTATTCGGAGTCGTTATCTAGATATTAAAAAAAGCTTGACATCACGAGAATCTAATAAAAGTGACTTCAAATTTATCAAAACTAGGTACTGAGCGGATATAACTTTATATTTCTAGGCTAGCGAATTGTTACAGCTTTTAAATATTATTTAGTTTCATGTTAATTTTACATTAACTCCCATTTTCCTGACAAGAATCCAGAACTTTGAAAGGTATTTATTTCAAAGCTGAAAAAATGGAGTTAGTTCAAGATAATAATGATAGATCTTAAGATAATAAGTATCACAGTACAGCTGTATTGGGCTACATGGTGAAATCAGGATCTCCTCAGTATAATGAAATAGAAAAAGTCCTGGGATTTTCCCGTTCTTTGGACATAAAAAAAAAAAATCTCAGTAAAGCTTAGGAAGTCCCAAAACTTTGGCAGCCATTTTCTTGCTAAGTTTACTTCTGACACCAGGCGAATCCCACCTCCTTCAAAGAAAGACCTCAAAGAAAGCTGAAGAGGTAGAAGGAACAGACAGAAGGGACCATCGTTGTGTCACGAATCAGGTGTTCATCAATTTTTGGGCATACGGAGCTGTAGTATAACCTCAAAGCCTGCTCATTTGTCTTTCTTTTGATAGAAAATATCCATCTATCAGGAACATTCATTTCTACCCTGTATAATTATGTTTATTTAATGCAAATAGGTTAAACAAGCGACGTTTTCAGGAAATTTTTGATGCAGAAAAATTGAATACAAAAATAGGTGCGCATGAACGTGGAACAGCTTTGTGCATATTAAGGTTTGATTATGTAAACTTTGTCTACGGAAGAGTTAAGTAAAAAAAACACAACAAAAACACAACAGCAAAACAACAGTCCAGTGAGTCAAATACAGGAAAGACTGAATTGGTTTATGTCAAAAGGTTTGTTGTCATCTCGAGATGAAAAGCAAATTTGTAGAATTGAAAATATAATTATTAAGAGCATTTGTTTCTAATATTATAAAGTGATGACTATTTCATACTATCAAACTCGACTTATAAGAGCAATAACTCCCTTTGTCCGGACAACATATTTTTGACAATGAAATGGAAAGATATAGGTCTACTGCATTTGGCAGTTTTTGTTATATCTTCATCCATCATCATCGTCATCAACAACAACAATAACTACAAAATCATCAACAAGAACAACAACAATCATAAAAGCAGAAAGAAGGAGAGCAATAAAAATAATATTGATATATTTGTACTGAAAAAAAAACACACCACGTAAGCTTCTTTTTGT